AGTATAAAATCATGCGGCCAGAGCACTGAGAGCATCCAGAGCTTACTGGGAGACAAGTGGGAGACAAGGGTGAAATCATGCGGCCAGGAACACAAGCCCGGAGACAAACTCAAAATCATCCGGCCCGAGCATGCACCCCTTTAAAAGGAGTAAGAACCCCTCACAGGTAAACCTGTTTGGGGAAAAAACATGACAAATTCACTGTGTATAGTCGTTCTGCTGGTCGACTGCACATCCTGGTACCTGGAGTCCCTCATGAGATGAACCTACTGTGGTTTCCATGCAGATTTACATGTATAAATATCAGGCATCTGACGCCTGCACCAACAATGCCATGTACAATCAGAATGTTCGACTAAGACTGAGACAATTTGTTGGTTCTTCATGACACTCGTTTCACTCATCGCGTCTGTAAGAAGGAGCAGGATTCGTTCAAAAATGGCATGAAGTGGTATTCATGACTCCGTAGACATTGCTTGACTTCACACACGACACAAGCTGGTGCTCAACCAATGACCCAAAAAGACTGATGTGAACACCAAGACTCTGGGTTCAGTAAATCTTCCTTCTTCTCTTCTGCTGTCATTTCACCCTGAGCTCCAACGCATCGGTTTCTGCTCTGCCAAACCACAATAAGAACTGATCTACTTCCAACTTTCTGCATGTGTGATCAACTATGTTTTTTCCTGCTGAGGCACCGTGCATTGCTAAAAAAATATCCCGGCAAGAGACCCCAAACAGCACTCACTCACTCTCCCACTCTCACTCACACTCACTCTCACTCTCGCCCACACTCACTTTCACCCACACGCACTCTCACTCTCACTCACACTCGCACTCACACTCACACCCACTCACTCTTCCACTCTCACTCACACTCACACTCACCTTCACTCTCACCCACACCCACCTTCACTCTCACTCACACTCACTCTCACTCTCACTCATGTTTAAATTTACATCTATTTTGACCCACACCCACTCTCACTCACTCTCACTCTCACTTTCACTCTCAATCTCACTCCCACTCTCACTCACACGCACATTCACATTCACCTTCATGTTCGCACTCACTCTCACTCTCACTCTAACTCTCACC